GCGCCACAGGTTTCTTCACAGTTTGGAATCCCAAGGGGCTGTTTCTAACCTGTGCCCGATAGCTGCAGATGTTGGCCGTGCACGTCCGCGTGGGATTGGCTCTCCGGGAACCCATGGAGTCGGGGTCCCTCGCAGCCACGGTGCCCCAAGCCCTCATTCTCCGTCTGGGCTGAGAGAGCCGGTCCGTTTTCGTGATGGCTGCTTCCTTGCGCAGCTGGCTCTGAGAGAGACGTTGATAGCGATCGTGTGCGTTCCCTTTCGTGATTTTATACATCATCGTACGGACCCAGATGCCCTTTAAACGTAAAGGCAATTGATTTGAACGGTTTGGAGGACTGGGTAGCATTCGCGGCAACAAATTGGCTCTTTCTGAATGTCCCGGAAGGAACATCAGACATGGAATAGACTTGCCCGAAAGAGGGGGAAAAGTCCCAGTGAACGTCCCAGCGCAAACTCACCTTGTTGGGGGTGGTGGGGGGGGGGGAGCAGGTTTTTATGTTCTGATCTTTAAAGGAAAGCCGAGTGGGCCAGCGACATCAGCTTCCCTACGCCCACGCGAGCTGGTGGGATCCCCCGTGCGACTCCCAGCCTCCCCCCTCCTTCCACCCATGTCTCCCAGGAAGGCCTCGAGCTCCCCATGAAAGGTTTGCCGCTGGGATCCCGACCCTTGGCGCCGTCTCAGGTTCTCTGGGTTGCAGGCTGACTTACTCGTACTCGGTGTTTGGTTTGGGCGAGATGAGTGAGGTGTGCTGGACAATGGTTTACGGAAGTAGGGAGACCCTGTGTCAAAGGCATATTTGGGGTTCATTGCAAAGTCTACTGCTTTGAAGACACTGGGTGGGTGTGTGGGGTGTGTGTGTGTGTGATCTTGCTTGCATCCTTGCTTTTATCTCAAAAAAGTATCGCCGTGGTTGCTCAGAAATAGACAGCCCGTTCCCTGTTCCAGCAGCCTGTCTTGGGAGAACTAAGTGGCCCGGAGATGCGTTTCATTCTGAGAGTTTAAAATTAGTTTGTCTTTCTCATTCCTGATCATAATTTCAAGAGTGTCGGGGTACAGAGATTTCATTTGACCTTAACGCTCGGGTCAAAAATTTCGCTGGAGTGACAGGGTCTCAGGCCCTTCTGACGGGGCTGGCTTTGTGTGATGTGTCTTGGGAAGTCGCTGCCCCAAGTTGAGGGCCCCAGCGTGGTGTTCCTGGCCATATTTGGGAGCTCCTGGAATGTTAGTAAGTGAACAGTTAGTGAGTGAACCCCTCCACACACATACTTGCACGCACACACACACACTTTCTCTCTCTCTCTCTCTCTCTCTCTCTCTCTCTCTCTCTCTCTCTTATCCCTCCACACACAGGGCAGGGTGAGATGTCAGAAAGATATGACCCTTTTCAGTCGCCACCGTGAAGCAGTGTGTTCAGACGCCCTTGGATCCCGGGACACAAGCATTGTCGAGTGATTGGCAACGACCACCAGGAATAAACTACTTCGGAGGGACCATCTTGTGATGGGAGAGGGGGTGGGGGGAGTCTGCAGACAACATCGCCGGCTTTGAATTCCCCCAGGCCCAGCCTTCCAGAGAAAGCCAGGGTCGGTTGAGAATTTGCTGAGAAGAGTGAGCGGGGTCTACCCTGTTGTCCGCGGGGCTGTTTAAAAAGTCCTTACACACGTGAGCCCCAGTCCTGATGGGGACACTCTGGCCTCCTTTCCTATGAGCCAGAAACGCCCCCCCCCCGTTAGGAATTCTGGATGGAGTTGGGGGTGCAGTTTATTTTTTCTCAGGGGCGATCGTCAAGGGGGAGAGAAGCGCATCCATATGAGTCCGCTGCTGTTTACCGACACGCGGGGTTCAGGAGTGGGAAATAACTTGTCAATGTGGGAGTCATTTACACAGCACCTCCTGGGCGCGGCCAGGGGTGCGTGACTCGTGTCGGGGCCCGTGTCGGCCACTGTCAAGGACAGAAAGTTCTTGGCCGAGCTCTCCCGGTGGGGTCCGGGGTTTCCGCGTGGCCGCAGATGTTTTGGGGGGGAAATAGATGTGGAGGACCCAGTCCGAGACGGCTGACTGCATGGTGGGTCTGTGAGCAATCAGGGCCCGTGTCTGTTTAGTTAGTGGCCGAGGCAGACACACGGGGCCGGTGGGGGGGGATGAAGACCCAGATGGGCTCCGGGTGGGTCCAGCCCTGGGTACGTGCCTGAAGCTAACGTCGCTGGCAGAAGAGCTGGGCCCAGGAGGCCTGCTGCAGACACATCCAGCTTTGCAGCTGTGCCCAGCGTGTTCCATAGATGAGGGACGCAGGGGGTGAGAAAAAGGAGTGACCTTTCCCCCGGTGACCTCGTTAAGTGACCACCACAGTTTTCCTCCTCGACCTGAGCCTCTTCAGGGATAATCTTGCCTTTCACAGACCTTCCAGGAAGGTCCTGCTGCCTTGAAATGCAGGCAATGCCCTCCCACACAACCATATATATATATATATATTCCCCACCCCCCCCCATTTTTCTGAATGGTAGCCTGAAAGAGAACGAAAGTAAGTGATGAATCCGGCAAGAGGAAGGCTTCCCTGACTTGAGATACGCCAAGTGCGGGAAGCAGCTGGAGAAATTAGAGTCCCCTCTCTCCTCCCCTTCAGGGGACCCACGGTCCAGCCATCGGAGGCCCTTCATGCTTTTGTAGCGAGGCTTCATTGGCTCAAAACAAATGGACCGTTTTCATCCCCCGCGATGTAACTTTTGGTGGCGGTTTAGGAGTTGAGGGGAGAGAGGCTGCGGCCCAGAATTTGGCTTTTTCAAACGGGAGCAATTTCACGATCCTTATGCCGTGACTATTTCTAAATTGTCTGGGCATCACGCTCTGGATGCCTCCCGACGAGCAGCAGCGGGGCGCCGCCGCCCGACGAGATCCACCCCCTGGAGATCCTCCAGGCACAGATCCAGCTGCAGAGGCAGCAGTTCAGCATCTCCGAGGACCAGCCCCTGGGGCTCAAGGGGGGCAAGAAGGGCGAGTGCGCTGTGGGGGCGTCGGGCGCCCAGAACGGAGACAGCGAGCTGGGCAGCTGCTGCTCGGAGGCTGTCAAGAGCGCCATGAGCACCATCGACCTGGACTCCCTGATGGCAGAGCACAGCGCCACCTGGTACATGCCCGCAGACAAGACCCTGGTGGACGGTGCCGAGGACGACAAAACGCTGGCGCCCTGGGAGAAGGCCAAACCCCAGAACCCCAGCAGCAAAGAAGGTA